CACACACACACACACACACACACACACACTCACACTCACGCACGCACACACACAATCATACACACTCACACTCATGTGTCGGTCCACTGCTTAATTGCTTAATTGCCCATCTCTGTCCCTCAAAGCAGCAGAAAGTGCTAGTTTAAATCACCATTAGCATAATTTGTGCTGTTGGCTATTAATTATGGTAAGCGCTCATCGTGTGAATGATGATTTCTTTCTGAAATGTCAGAGACCTGCTGAAAGACCGACAAAACAACAACTTTCAAATGCATTTCACCGAAAGACCTTTTCCTTCACAGTGCCGCTGAATTTCTTTATAATAAATGAAAATCTTCTATTATATACAGTTTTAATGAACATTTGATTGCACTGAGTGAACTGTGATTTATTCATGACTTCCCAGTCCTGTATTTAAAATTCACAGAAAAGCTTTTCAGTGGCGGTGGGTTTCTTTGTTTCACCTGCAGAAAACAGCATGTTATATTATAACGAACGCTACTCCACTCACTCAACATACTTCCATTAAAAAAGCACCATGTATACGACTAAAGCATTCAATACTATGGTATGTATCTCGTCATCTGATTTTATGATTGTTGAAGCCAGCAGTCTGTTACTTTGTGACATTTCATGCATGTGCATAATAACTTCTGGCCTTTAGATGGCGCTGTCACATCATAAACACACAGCAAGTCCTCAGTCTGTTCAAGGGTGATTCTGAGATCTGTCAGTGTGGTTTAGTTTAGTTCAGAGGACTAGTTGAGTTCTCATATCCTGACAGCGATCAACATTCAACACGAGCGTGAGAGATTTCAGTCACACTCACACGCAACACAAACACACTTTGTATTCTCTAAGTTTTGAGTACTAAAAGAACTCATTGTATTATTTCAATGACAATAAAACATATTTTCCCTCTATATTCTCATTTCTGTTAAGTTGGAATGTTTTGCTTATTGCAAGATTCATGAAAGATAATGTGAAGAACTGAAATCAACCTGAAATCAAAAGAAAGAAGACATTTTACTATTCATAAAGTGAAATGCATTATTATTCAATCCTCTGAAAGCGTGGGAGCGGATAAAAGACTGCTATGTATTTGAGTCGCTCTCTCTCAGGTGTTTCTTTCCCTTGTTTTTATACATTCATACCCACGCATGTTTTTTTTTTTCTCCTAGACGTCTATTTATTTTGACTGTTTAATAATTCCTTATTTTGTTAATAAATTGGTTTATTGTTTGAAGTTTTGTGGTTTGCCTCTTCTGTGTTGCGGCTTACGAGCCAGCCGTAACATATCGTGATATTGACCGCATACAGTTCAGAAACAAGTTAATATTAAGTGACTTGCATTTTATATGTGTCTGTTTTTCCTCTTTATCATCAACGAATAAATAAATCCACAGCAGAAGCATCGTGTTCAGAGAAACACAGGTGTTCGGTCTGGTTTAACGTTTATTTATTTTTTCACTTTTTAAGTACATTCATTTTGCTGTACTAAATAAGTGTTTATATGTAGTTATACATTAACTAGCATTAAATAATTATAATTGTTTGCAGTTATCATGTTTGTAGTGGTTAGTTTTAATTATAACTGTCTGTGAGTGTGAGTTTGAGTGTGTGTGTGTGTGTGTGTGTGTGTGTGTGAAGCGACCGGTGCGTCTGCCATCATCAGCGCTGAGAGAACAGCTCCACCGAAACAATACAGCATCGAACTGAACCAACAGGCGAACGGACTGCGCTGAGAAACCTCCAGCGCTCCTGCAAAACAACACACACCTTCATCATCATCATCATCATCATCATCATCACTCATGAACATTACAGCAAATTCACTTCAGAAAGACAAACACAACCATCACACAAATCAAACCATTTACAAACTACTGTGTGTGTTTGCATCTACTTAATTACATTTTGGGGACAAATTTGTAAAGAAATTGTAGATAAACCTGGAGATTTGTAAAATTGGTATAAAAATAAAGTTTTTTTTTAATTGCAAAAATGCATAAAGTTTTCTGTTATATACTTGCTGTATATAAAAACAATAGAAGTCTATGCAATGTCCCCAGATAGCGGAGTCAACATGTGCAACTGGGCCTAAAAAGACCTTCTAATTCAAATTCAAATTTATTTTAAATACAGCAGTCATTCATCATCATTTAGAAACACTCCAGAATATCTCAGACACATTGAGACGAACAGATGAACCATGACTGCGTCACTGCTCTGAGATTAGAGTGAGATTAGGATCAGACAATCAGCCAGAACACATGACTGTGACTGAGGATGATCTAGAGCGCGCTGATTTGGGGAGGAAAAATCCAATAGTGGTTTTAAAATTGCGATTGTGATTTAAAAAAATAAATAAATCCTTGTTTTTGGAGGGCTGTACAATCTGGCCAAAATTTTGTGATTAGGCTTCATATCAATAAAATAATAATAATTGCTTAATAAAAATAAAAAATATATATATAAAATAAAATAAAAAATAAGTATTATAATTGTAATATTTTACTGTAAAATAAAAAACCCAAGTTTTGAAAAAAATACAATAATAATAATTATTATTTTATTCTACATTATCATATATTTATAGCTGTCTTAATTTCTTCTTTTTGAAATATTAAACCATCAAACTTTTATTTTGACAGAAAGGGATTCTGATTCAAGTTTTATTTAAATTAATCGCACAACAGTGTTCCACTTACTGTGACACTGCTTTTTATTCAGATATAAATATTTAATTTCTAACATTCATGAATATGCAAATATTTGTAACATATTATATGTCCAGTATTTTACTAGTTTTATTATCATACACAGTTTTATGAGCTCATTTTAATTAAGAGACTTTGGAAAAAAGTTAAAAATGAATGTCACAAATAATCTAGTGAAGACAAAAGGTGGTTAAAAATGCTTTACATTATACACTTTAACCTAAATTAGACTAATAAAAATACTATACGTGTCAAGTCAAGTCAAATTTATTTATATAGCACTTTTCACTATACGCATGGTTTCAAAGCGGATTACAGGAGATCATGTTAATGTTTATAATATCTTAATGTCTTATAGTGTCAGGGTTGGGTGAAAGGATGAGGCGAGGACTCGATTGCTGGAAGTTTGGGCTTTTTATTAACAATAAAACAAAACAAAAACTACCCCGAGGGCAGGGTTGCCAGGTTTTCACAACAAAACCCACCTAATTGCACATAAAAACTAGCCCAATTGCGTTCCGGGGGGTAAATACACGCAAAATACACGTTATTGTTAGGGTTACCCTGGTAAAATTTGCATAACGGGGACTAAATATCCCATTATTGGGGTTGCTTTAACCCGTGGACATGAACCCTGATATCTCGTCCAATTTAGCAGATCAGAGCTGGACGATGAAATAGTTTGTCATATAATATAATCATGAATCTAATAAAAGCTCAAGATTGTTTTGAAATCGACTGCTTGATATCTAGAAGCCTGATATCTGCAGTAACTCTGATCTCTGACACCCGCGACGTCTGCTGAACACTCAAACACAGATAAATGTGAGGCCCTTCACGGATTTAATCACGTCATGTGATGCAACCGCATCCTGGATGACGACACACTCGATCAACACAGAGTTCATAGGACAGTCGGATTCACTCTGATCACATGATGCAACTGCATGCAGCCACTAAAGCACCGAACGAACATCGAGAAACCAGACTGAAGCAGAGCGGAGCCATCACAGATATGAGTTAATGCAACAACACACACACACA